GGGTAATGATGTTGTAATTGCAATGTGTGTCTAATGGGACATACTGTTTCATAATCTTTCCTTGACACATCACTATATGTAATTTTGAAAAACAGGAAACAAACTATTTTTAGGGTCTTAGGAAAAGATTTGATCACCCATGTCAGGATTTTCATGAATTTCAGGAATGCTAAAGAATTGGAAACACTTTAGAGATAATTAACTCACCTATTTCAGGAATTCTTTGTACAATACCCTTCAACTTCTGTTTGCCCAGTCTTTCACTTAAACCATTTACACTCAAAATGCCTGTTGTGCCACCTAGAGTAAAATAAGTACAGGCACTTTTTCTGTATAATTGTTTCAGCCTTATGTACCAGTTGCTAGTTGCTTTCTAGTGTTCCAAGTCATGGCAGCCCCACGTGCTCAGATTAGAACTGTTCCACTGGGTTTTCAGGTCTAGGATTTTACAGAAGCAGATCTCCAGGCCTGTATGCTGAGGTACCTCTGGGTACATTCAAACAACCAACCTTCTGACTAGTAGTTAAGTGCTTAACTGTTAGTACTGCTGCTGCTGTATGTCAGTTCTGCCTCATAGCAACCCTGTATAGGGTTTCCCATATCGCAAACCTTTACTGAAGCAGATTGTCCTATGTATAAGGCTGTACGTCTTTATGGGAACAGAAAGCCTCATCTTTCTCCCATGGAGTGACTGGAGGATTCAAACTGCTAACACATGGTTAGCAACCTAACGTATAAATCCACTGTGCTACCAGGGCTCCTCTTAGTACTAGTGGAGGTAAATAATAGCTTTCCTCATGTATTCTTTTCTTTTTGAAAATTGACTTGGTCATAACTAACAACACGTATAATTTACTGTGGAAGAACAAATGCTAGAAAAATGTCCATTAGTAAAGAATGGATTTATTTTGGCTTTGTTCACATAATAGAATACTATACAGCAATTAAATTGCATGAACTAAGTCTACATGCATCGTGAGCAAATCTCTAAAACATTGTGAATGAAGAAGTAAGGCATAGGATATTTTTAATATGATTCATTTACATATGCATGTGAAAGTCGGACAGTAAATCAGGAAGACTGTAGAAGAATTGGAGGCCAGGATGGCCAAACTTCATCTTTCATACTCGGACATATTGTCAGGAGCAACTAGTTGCTGGAGAAGGATATGATGTTTGTTTGGTAAGGTGGAGGATCCATATTTGTACCCATTCCAAAGAGAGGCGACCCAACGGAATGCGGAAATCATCAGACAATCTGTTTGATATCTCAAGCGA